AACTTGAATTATTGTGATGTTTATAGTGACTGTAGGTAGCTGTTTGTGCTGCGAGTAACGATGGTGTTTGCATAAATACTTCAAAGCAATCAATGATGCATACAGCGTTGACATATTTTCCTCTGAAACATTTTGGTAAGTTATGTTTGAGGGCAATACGATTTGGCCACATAATAAGTTGTTTAAATTTTCGGTACAAAAGATCTAGCCATCTATGAAATATAGTAGATATATATTTCACGTCAATCCCAACTCTATATGCCAGATCTTGATTTTCATATCCTCTCCTCAGTTTTGCCAATGTTATAAGTAATTCATCCATTAAATCCAGCTTGCTATGTAAAGGCTTTTCAACAAAAGTACTGAGCAATCTGAACAATTTTGAAAAACAGCAAATGTAGGAAGACCTGTATAAAACCTTATTTTCTTGTCACTTTGAAATGAGCGTGCACGAAATTCTATTTTCTGCAAGTGAGAAGTTAGCTTCTGTGTATTAGATGCCGATGTTCTTAATGCTTTAGAGCAGCGATCATACATTGAAGATAAATTTGCAATATCTTGTTTCTGCTTTTCTAGGTGATTGTCCAAAACTTCCTTGTCCAACTGGAGTTGTAATCATAGGGGTAGGAACAGGGGGGGCAGGAGGGGCTTAAGCCCCCCCAACTTTCATTGAAGGGGGGCTTAGCCCCTCCAACTTTAAGTGATATACATGTATTACTATTATCAACACTATAGACTTTAGTTTAGGTAATCCTTATATGTGTGCATATTGTGTGATGATTCATTTCATAAAACAATTAATACAATCTAGCTTCTAAGAACACACTAGTTTTTTCAGAAATACACAAGCTTCAACATTAGCTTTAGCTGAGCGTAGATTTTCAATGTTAAGGAAATTAAAAAACTACTTGTGCTCCACAATGTCACAGGAGCGTCTTAATCATGTAGTTATTTAGCATACTCAAAGAATTTACAGACGATTTATACATCAAGGACATTGCAAAGGAATTCGTTACATTTAATGAGCATAGATGCAAATATTTTGGACAATATTAATTTCAGTACAATGATCAATTGTTAAATCATGCTCCTATGATTTCCAATAAATAATACCTTAGCCCCCCCAACTTTTAGTTTGTTCCTACCCCTATGGTTGTAATATTTCATATTCACAATCCTCCAACATCTCTTCACAATTGGAAAGTACATTTGATTCTTCATTCTGGGTTCCATATTCAATTCCTTCTTCACTTTGGTCTTCGTCATCTTCATGTTCGTCATCAAATGGTACCCCAGCTAGTTCATTCAGTTCATCATCACAAGTTCCATGTAGCTCTCCTTGATCATCTGCTTCTTCTACATCATCATTCTCTTCTGCATTGCCCTCACTGACATCTATATCATTCTCCCTCCCTTGAGTATTGAGTGACACATCTTGATTTTCTTCTGCCACAACTTCCTCTTCTGCCACAACTTCCTCTTGTGCCGCTTCCTCTTCACTTACAACTTCTTCTTCTGCCACAACTTCCTCTTGTGCCGCTTCCTCTTCGCTTACAACTTCTTCTGCCACAACTTCCTCTTCTGCCACTTCCTCTTCGCTTACAACTTCCTCTTCCATTACCTGAACTCTTCTCTCTTTATGTACAATTGCTGTTTTCCTAACTCGCTTTTGAATTACTTTATTTTGTCGACGACGACGGTTGATAAATCTGCTGCTACGGTCTGAAAACTGTTTCATGCTGTTTTCTAATACACTAGTATGAGTAAATATTGTTGGAACATAGCTAACACTTAGAGGGTTATTTGACCTTTTGCCTGTAAATATTAATAATAATAATGATATGT